ACGACCTTTACCCACAAGGTTTGGACACCGTCGGTAGATGGTAGACTACCGAAGCACCGTCAATTCCAGTCCTCGAGGTCATCGCCTCCTTGTCCACATCTTCAATCCTCAATCACTAGTAGGTAGACCTCACCTCATTCCCACGATACCCATCAGCCCCCTCATTCAGTGTAGCCCTCCTACACATCCACTGCAAAACCCGCAACATGAACCAACCCCACCCCCGAGAATGGCAAAATCGTCCGATTTTCTGGAAGGGCTGCAACTGAAAATAGATTAGTGCTCATTGGCGCGATCTCAATCGAGATTGGTGGGCATCGCTTATCTGTGTGCTGAGGCGTTCATCGCTACGTGTGCATGCTTCGTGCCTTTGTCTGGAGGTTTGCGTACAGGCAGGGGCAGGTAAAGTTCCGTTGTAGCCAGGTTCTAGACTGGCTGGAGTCAAGTGTGGTGAGCAACTCTGCCTGCCACGACATGCCTCCCACCTGCAAGGGCAAGAACATGAAGATGACTTTTCGGCATTGGACGTTTGTACGACATTGACTACCTCTAGCTGATACGCATTACCTGACTGACAGAAACAGAAGATGTGGGTGGTGTGGAGGTGTGACGAGTCTCCAGGAAATGGATTGAAACCACCTCAGGCATCTTGGTTGGGGGAATGCAAATGCATGACTGACATCCCCTCCATCGTAACCGCAAGCGATAGATTGCCGCAAAAGGCCCCTGATGATTTGAGATTCAATTGTTGTTGGACCTCATCAGGTACGTCCGAATATGTGGCTGAAATGCCCCGTCTGGTGGGTGTACAACCGTGGTGTAACCACACACACGTCCACGCCGTTGCTAGTCTGTGCCGGGGCATGGTTCTCGTGGCCTGGCAGGCCTTTTTCACGGCCCCTGTGTAAGAAGGGCTTGAGAAGGGCTTGTAAAAGCTTGAGGGCTTCAGAAGATAGCGAATAGATGTTGCGCTTCTCTTTTGAGAATGATGATTGCTATTGGGCATCGAAACGGCAGTCAGACGGATGACCACTGAGAAGGACCAAAAAGGGGAGACTAGTGATGCGGGATTGTCTCAATGTGTTCGATTTCTTCGAAACTTCGAACGGGGCTGAAGTTGGTGGTGACGGGCACGGGAGGATGGGAGATGCGCGGCATCACGAACTGCGCTACCTTCTACATAAACGCGTACCAAAAATAGTAACCAGACGCGGTTGGTAGACGCACCTCCAGAACAATGGTGAGGCTGGCACTGAGGCTGTGGGAGCCATTTGCTGGAGATATCACGAATATCACGATCGTTGGTGGTGAAAACTTGCGGTCGCCAGAGGTTTGCGTAGCAGTCTGGTACTGTCGGCCTTGAGGACACAGAGAAAGAAGTACCTACCTGGGTACCTCTAGTGAACGCAGAAATTTGTGAGAATATTCACAAAGACGGTGAGTTGTGCATCAAAGTTCTGCGCATTCATTAAGCAGTCCTGGAGAGCGGTATATTGACGGATGTGAACAGTAGGTGCGGATGCGTGCACCATTGGTGAGGAATCACACCGCAAGCAACTATGACGATGATTTTTACATCTTATCCGAAGCCTCCCTGTTGATTAGCGAGGGTAGGTAAACAAGTGAAGGAGAGGATATTGATGAAATGAAGCAAAGTTTCGACAGTTGACTGGGACAGGAAGAAATCCATTTCCCTTCTCGGCCCGGCCGTTTCGGTTCTTTACTTTCTTCTTTCGTCTCTCCTTCCTTTCTGGGCATTGCACGGTTTTAAAGAACGTGGGAGTGAACCCCTGGCCGGAGCGTACGTCTCGCACATATGTGTGGAACATTACATGTATGCAACGGTGAAATGTCTCAGTGACGTACCTCTCTCTGTCTTGCTGTCTCTTCACCAACGCAGGGTAAGCAGTGAAAGCGATTGCGGCGTGGTGTCATGTGGCAGTAGGTAGAGGTAGGTAGAGTTAAGGTAGGGGCAGTCCACGGGGTCTGTACATGTATGTTGGGGTAGTGAACCCGTGCAAATGCTGCGCACATCGTCATCACAATCATCTCCAGCAACTTCCATCAACTTAGATCACTTTCCCTGCGACTGATTCTGCACTTTGAGATATCACTTCCCACCTATCAGCAGTCTCTATTGCCAACGAAAAAAAATGTTGGCTCCGAATCCTACATGAACGCACTTTTCTTCCCCTACGCCACATGTATCTCAAATCGAGAACAGCCAGCCACTGGATGAAAAGGGAAGTCTTCGAGATCAGTCGCACATCAGCCAGAGCGCTTGAGGCGTCTCCTTGAGCGCCACAGCGCACTAGTCACATACAAATTGCTCTTTTCGGGGACTCACAGCACTTTTAGCCCTGAGGGGCAGCAAAACTTTGAAGAAATCGTATGTTTTGGGGGTAGATGGCCTGTTTTTGAGACAGGCACTTTCCTCTTTTGGATGCAGTCTGAGCTTTTCTACGTCTGTCACTTGTTATCTGAGATTAAGTTGTGTTGGGTATCTCTAGGTAGGAAAGGCGATAAGCAATGACGTGATAGACCCAACCCGGCCTGGGGAAAGAACTGGAGATTAGTCTAAAGGCTTGGCTATCACTGACACGGGCTCGAGAATAGGCAAGACGGCGCCCACTGTCTCAATCGCAAGAACCCTCAGGGGTACCCACAGTCAGAACGTCAGTCAACCTCGAGCATTATCATCCGCGATGGAAGACCGTCGCTTCCCCAGATTTAACCAGTAACCGTTACGTTGGAGGCCGTAGAAAGGAACCAAATAGAAGGGGGGGGGGGGGGGGGGGGGGGCAAAAAAAAAA